TTACATCTTCAATCTTCCAAATTTTCCAAGTTGTTTTTCGTACCCTCTGAGTTTATTCGCAAATCTGTGATTCCTCTTTGCAAAAGCCCTTCTTCAAAATTACCAAATCTTTGTCATTTTCTTCTATTCTTGACCTTTAAATTCGAAAATGGTGAAAACATCACAAACCATTCCTTAGAAAGAGAAAGCTTCATCTTCACAGTCTGTCGCCAACAAAACACCGGTAGAGCCACGACCTGAGGAGTGCGTTCTTGGGGCATGTGTTCTTACCTCTGATTTTAAGGTCGATAAAGGCTCGTCGGTTCCCGGCCGATGTGAGCCAGTATCGAGGTACATGTGTTCGATAACTGAGAGGCACCTCAAACAGCTGAAAAACGATTGCAATTGGGAGGGTGAAGAAATAATAATCCCTTCTTCTGACGAAGATATCACCACTTACGTGAAAGGGTTTTTAAGTGTGTATACTTACCCTTTCACGTTAGGTCCCCTCGATTCCGTTATTAGTGACTTCTGCCGTCAATACCAAATAACCCTAGGTCAGTTTCATCTTTCTTTTTGGCGGATCGTTATTTTGATTCGATACTTTGTGACACTACTACAAATAAGATCTTTAGCAGCAATACAAAATGGCTTTAGCGGCAATAATAATAGCCGCTAGATCTTTTACCGGCCATTAGTCTTTTGCAGTTGAAACCGGGGTCGGCAAAGCCTTTAGCGGCTTTTCTCGCAAAAGCTGGTAAACGGTATATTTTATTGCCACTAAAAATTATTATCTTTAACTGCAATTATTTGCGGCAATTATAATGGCTACTAAATCCAATCCAAAACGGCTAATTATACTTCTTTAGCGTTCATTATTATAGCCGCTACATTCAAAATCAATGCCGCTAAAAATTTGCATCTTTAAGGGCAATTATTTATGGCAATTATAATGGCTACTAAATCCAATCCAAAACGGCTAATTATACTTCTTTAGCGTTCATTATTATAGCCGCTACATTCAAAATAAATGCCGCTAAAAATTTGCATCTTTAAGGGCAATTATTTATGGCAATTATAATGGCTACTAAATCCAATCCAAACAGCTAATTATACTTCTTTAGCATCTATTTTTATAGCCGCTAAATTAAAAATAATTGTCACTAAAAGTTCACATCTTTAATGGCAATTATTTTGTGGCAATTAAAATGTCCATAGTATCCCTTTAGAAAACATCTTAGTTTGCCCTTTTAGCTTCCATTATAATGGCTAATATGTTTAACTAAATTGCCGCTAAAAGTCAATATCTTTAACAACAATTGTTTTACATCAATTATAAATAGTTTAGCCACAATTAATAATAATTACTACATTCGTACATAATATGACTCAAATAATAAAATATATTAATATTAATTCAAAAAAACATAATATATCTCATTAATCTTAACAAACAAAAGGAAGTACTAATCAAAAATATTAATATCACATTAACTTAAAACATAAAAATATATTATTTAGACTAAATAGATAATGTCATTATATACGAATAATGGTATTCAAATGATTTTCGCAACTTTTCATCATTTTGAAATCTTTCACCCGTTAAATTATCCAACATCGACGGTATGACCTAAAATTATAAAATAATTGTGTCACAAGAGAAAGTATAATGTGAAAAAAACATCTTGAAGATTCAATCACTGTTAGATTAACCAACTCCCTCACCTAACATCTATAAGCAAAAACAACTAAGCTAAAATATGAACATTTCAATCAAATTGATTAGAACAAACAGGGAAAAAGGGAAAATAAAGTAAACTTAAAGCGACTGTCAGCAGGGTTATTTATCAGATGTCCTCCACTATGCAGTCTCTCATCAAATTAAGGTTATTTATCAGATGTCCTCCACTATGCAGTCTCTCATCAAATTAAGGTTATTTATCAGATGTCCTCCACTATGCAGTCTCTCATCAAATTAAGGAAGCCAGGTATTCAGAACATCCCTCATAGGTGGCCAGATTTATTTAACATGATGGAACAATATACACCTACACTGAAGTATACTAAGGTGTTGTGGGGAAAAAACATGGAAACAAGGTACTGGTTGGGGGCACTAGGGAGTCCTTCTACTATAAGGTCATTCAATCAAAGGCCTGGTATAAGACTGGTGCACAGCTGGTAGCCAAACCTAGTTCAAACACTTGGAGATTTCATTTTCCAACTCAAAACAGTCCACACTTTACTAAGATACTGCAGTGGTGCAAATTAAGAAATAAACTGCTGAAGAATTAAGAAGACTGAACTCAGCTGATCAAACTTTTGTTCTGAACCCAAACTTCAACAACTACCTACTGAAACTTAGTAAAACCAGTTTTATTCTTCAATCCAACAATCTTCTTAGCAGCAGATAGTCGAACCAACACTCAATTCAAACCAGAATTCAATCAAGAAGCTCGACTCAACTCACTGATTCAATTCAATGAATACATCGAGATCACCAGCACTCAAAGATGAATTAAGGGAGCAGGAAGTAATGCTCAATGAAGCTGAATAGATAGTAAGCTTGAGAGAATGTAATGCTCAACTAACAGGTTTAAATGCAGCGTTCAAAGAACTTGCACGTGCCAACCATCTAACATTTTGACACTGCAGTTACATCAGACAATTAAGATGACACTCGGTCCCTAACATTTGGCAGGAAAAATACAATTTTGTATGCACAAGCTAGAAGCATAAACCAAGACAATTCCAATTAAGAAAGCAATTTACAACAAAACATAGTCTAGTTGTGATTCACTTGAATTATTAGCCCAAGTACCTGATGCTAGGCGTAGCATCATCATTTGTCAGAGAAGGGGAGATGCAGAAATAGTTACTGACCAAATGAACTCAATGCATGGTTACAACCATATCTCAATGCAAACAGATTCATTAATGATGAAGAAGGTGATTGATGGTACATGGGATGCACCTTGGTCAGTAAATGCATAGGTGGAGGAGAACAAGGAGATCATGAGGTGTTGTCATAGCAATATAACACATATAATGCGAGAAGGCAACAAATTGGCGGACTATTTAGCTAACTATGCACTGGCTAATTGGAATTGTGAGGCTAATAGTTTTGCGCAACTGGAGGTACAAGGGAAAAGGATGGTCAATAGTGATAAGTTACAATGCCCCTATTTACGGATAAGGGTGGAAGAAATAGTTTGGATGGGAATTATCAGAACTTGGAGAATGAAGAAAGGATGAGGAAGCTATTGTCTTCATATTCAAGTCCTACTGGAGGAGAATATGGAGACACTTGTTTTACTTAACGATGTTTTCATTTTTGTAGGAAAAGATATTGTTTTCAACCCCTATGTTTTAATAGAGATTCAATGTGTGCTACTAGATTGTGTGATCATTCCATTGAAAGGAATTTAAACATAGGCACAAGCATGGATCGTGTGGATTACATCAAGCAGTTATGGGTTATCACTGGTGGAAACAATGCTACAATGGTGTGGGATCATCAAGAGTCATGCAGCAGTAAAATTAAAATGCAGTGACATGGCAATTTATCGAATGCATTTTCAGAATATTCAGAATAACTTAACGATGCAGCACAACTGGAAGGAAGATATGAACAAATCAAGCTTGGAATCAAGGTTTGAAAGGGAGAAACTGAAACTGGACAGCCTTGCCTTGGCCCTCACACATAGGAATGAAATGCTGAAGATCCAATACTCTAATGTGTTGAATATCATGGTACAAACAACAGGCATTTCATCCACAACAGGTGCATCACAAGATTTGAAACGCAAGAGATGGCTGCCCAGAATTTTAAGCGTGGAAATCTCACGAGGTACTGGACTTTGGATCCAAAAGATGGGTATAATGGGTGGAGTGAGGAGCAAGAACGCAATGCATTTCATTAATTCAATATCCTGGGTTTGGCCTCATGTAAAAACTTCATCGATTTGCAACTGGAGGTCACACGAATTTTGGAGCAAACAGTGCAAGGCCAACTATGCGCAAAAGTGCAGGACATAGAACTAAAAACCTATCAAAAAAGAAAAACTTAAATGGCACATAACTAATATATTTAAATTTGTCTGCTACTTTCTTTCCTTGTTTACAAGAAGGAAACTCCTAGGCAGGCTATAATCGAAATATTCAATACATGCTAGTGTGTCTTGTACTTCTAAATATTCTCACAACCTTTGCGACATCAACAACAGTGGGAGAAATATAAAAAGCAAGAAGCATCCAAGGTAAGTCTAAATACAAAAACAAATTAATAAAAATCGAAGGAGGAAAACTCAAACAATAGCGACGAAGGACAAAGATGAGTAGTACCATGAGAAGGTTGAGCATTTTCAGCAACACTAGGTATATTTGATGTTTGTGGTACTCATTCATGTCCACTATTGACATCAGGGATCTAATAAATATTAATATATTAGATAACAATACTTTTACATAATTAGAATTTTATTTAAAATGTCTAAAGCTTATGAAATGGAGTTACTTGTTCACCTGAGGTGCCATTGCTACTTTAAGGCATAGATGCATCAGGAGCATATTTGCGCATGAGTTGTCTCATTTGGAGTAATTCTGATTGTATCATCTCCTGATTTTGTTTCATCATATTCATTTCTTCATTTTGTTTCTCCTTTAACTTGATTATCTTTTGTTCTAACCTTTGTATAACCTCATTAGAAGAATCACCTGCAATAATATTTCCTAAGGAAGACCTACTACCCCATAGAAGAGAAGGAGTTGGACCAAGTCCTAAACCACGAACATACCGACTTTTTTCATTTCCCAACACCTGAGAATACACATTGCCTTCCCAAGCAACACTACGAGGAGGCTGCTTAGTAGATCTCTCACTATTGCTCATCCTTTCATTTATCATTTTCTAACCATAGAATACACAATAAATCAATTTTGGAACTCATGAGCAGGAAAAAATGCACATTGTTTGATGGAGTCATCAAACCAACAAAATAAAAGAAAGAATAAATCTTACGATTGTCTTGACAAAATCATCATCCAGTGGCCAACCATCCTTACGTTTTTTATGAGTTAATAAGAAAATTTCTGCTCGTGTAGGCTCAATCCCATTTACAGCCTAATACAATAAAAATGATATCAGATATGCGTGACAAAAAAAGGTTTAAAATATTATAGTTTGTAATTTTCACAAGTTTACCTACGCATTCATCAAGGTAACAATACTTTTGGATCCTCCTATGTGAGGCATCGTTTGCTTGGGTACGTCTCTGTCATTGAAATATTAAAACTTTATCTTATAAATCATAAATAAAATTGAGCATAACTAAAATAAAAACGCTATGAAAATGAGCAGACTAGGAGAATTTTGAAAGTTCATACCATAGCTTTATCAGAAAGCTAATAAGATACAAGACCACTCCATTGATCCCTTGGTATGCGACTTGGTCTATTTTTCAGTAATGCGTCTTTAGTCTTATATTTTGGCGTATATTCACCCTTTAACTCGCACTTGTAATCTTTCCATTTCTTTCCTAGTGACTTTAAGACCCACACTTCTTCACGTTTTGGGATAGAGAACTTCTTCTGAAAAAATAAAAGCCAATATTTAGAAGATAACATCATGTATAAATAGCATGTTCACAAAATAATAATAATAATAATAATAATAATAATAATAACTTTCCATACCCTCACAAAATCCACTAATTTTTTCTTTTTCTCTTTGTCAAAATTTCTCCAATCATCTACATGTAGAGGTTAGCTCTTGAGTTCTGGCAATAATTCCTACAAAGCTAGCAAGCTTTCGACCCTCTTTCCCAATAGCTTGGTTACGATTATTAAACGGCACATCAATTATCTTCCCCGGCAGAAGTTTTCAAATATCTTTTAGTAAAGTAGGCCCAAGAACCTTTTTTGCTTCAGAATTACCTAGAATGAAAAAAATTCGAATAATGTGGTGACTTCAAGAATTCTAACTCCAGATACTTTAACATTACGTTGTTGAAAGAGACTACCAAAGCAGGAGTATTACTATAAATATCACAACAATATCAAGGAATTACAATAAAGTGCTCATATTGGAGCTGAAGTTAAGGCTGTAGGAAATCAAGAATCATCACATGAAAGAAAGCAGGCACATGATCCTAATAATGAAGTTGTGTTAGTTTCACAATTTGCAGCACAACCAGAAGATGCAGACACAACTAACAGAACGTTACTCCTTTACATGTAGTGTGTGAGCCTATCCTTTGCATGAGAGTTGGCCCTTTTACCCAACAAAGTAGTCCACAACTAACAAAGTTTTTAACTAACAAAGCTCGTAACTAACAGAAGGTTCACTAAGGCCAAAGTAGTACACTGAAGCATTAGCAACTGTTTTAGTTAAGAACAAACTCAGCCAAATTTACACATACTAGCAAATGAAAGCTATCATCTAATGTTATACATAATCAGATTGCAATACTATAGAAGCATTACCTAAATCTTCATCATGTTTAATCTCAGTGCCACCATCAGCACTATTCAACTCATTAGATTGACCATCACGTGCTTGGGCATCAGAGTGGTTCTGACTATCCATCAACTGCTCAATATATGGCTGGGCTCTAGAATAGTTTTGACCATCTATCAAGTGCTCAATATAAGGTCTCACATCTTCATCTTCATCTTGTTCAACTACTAGTCGGTTGCGACATCTAGTTTGCATACTTCTTTTTTCAAAATAAAGAAACTATCTAGCTGCATTAAGTTATACTAGTACCAGATTAACTCCAACCAATCAACAGGTCACACACAAAATAGGAGGAATCATCGTCCTCATCTCAAGCTATGAAAAATAAATGAATAGAAATTCGTGCATACAAACAAAGCCTTGCGACAAATATAGTTCAAGAGATAAAAGGAATTGATGCACCAGCAAAAACTATTGTCCAATTATAATAGCACCTTAGCATAATGCAGTACAAGGACTACAATTAGCAAAATATAACTAAAAGAAAGCACAAAAAATTCACTCAATTTAACCAAAAATCAACCAATACAAACATGGAAAATCCATAGCCGACTAACATGCATCTTCTATAAAATGGCTCAAATTGAAAGCAAAAAGTATATTTATTCAAATTTCTGCATTAAAAAAATACCTAGAAGTTCTCAAATAACATTTGCAATAAGAATACTCTATAAGTTCTACCTATCTTATTCAGAATCACATTCATTGTCAATGTCATTTACAAATGTCATTTACCTCTCTTAAGGATGAAATTCTGTACTACTACTCTAACTATAACCTTAAATGTTCTAGTAAGTATAGGTTCATAATCATTTACAAATTACTACATGCATGCTATTTCTTTTAACTCAATAGTACATTAATTTATAGATTATTCATAACTGCTGCTCTAGCAAACCTCACACCCATGACATTGACCTTTAACACGGAAAAGAATAAGTCTTGGCAGTAGAAAGATTTTGCAATCAGAAAGATATCTCAACGGTACTCTATATATTTATATTCTTTATCTAAGCACTTAAAAAATTTTAATCTAATATATGAATAGCCGAGGGCCTGTTTTACACCATTTGAAGGTCATTCTTAAAGTAACAAAGAGCGTTCATGCTTATTAAAGGATCTGAAAATATTTGTCCATGCTACATACATCGCTCCATACAGAACACGAATCCCATGTAAACGAACATTAACCTCGGCAACTATATGAGTTTCTTTCCCAAAAATTGGTTTATAACATAGGAGAAATTTAGATATAAGAGATAAGCGGCCGAAACAAATTTCCTAAATCAGGATTTTCTACATCCAAATAAGAAAATCCATATAACATGACTTTTACCATATTAATGTATACAGAATCTACTGTAAATCAATCGACAAGCATCAATCCAAAATCTACTGTAAATCAATTGCAATCGACTGATTTAATTGGAAAAGAAGAGAAGTTAACATGGGAAGAAGAGAAGTTACATGGGAAGAAGATGGACGGGCACTACAGCAGGCTGTTGACGCAGTAGTGAGTTAGGTTTATGGCAGGCGACAGCGACAGATGCCTTTCGATTGTTGTCTAATTGTTTTCCTATTATTTTATAATTGGAGGGAATCGATAATTCTTGTCCAAAATAATTGGAGGAGTATTACCAGATTAATGTACACAGAATCTATTGTAAATCAATCGACCAGCATCAATCCAAAATCTACTGTAAATCGATTGCAAGGAACTGATTTACTGTAAATCGATTGGAAGAAGAGAAATTAACAAGGAAAGAATAGAATTTACCTGGGAAGAAGATGGGCACTGCCGTTGACGCACTGTAAATCGCGGTAAATCGCACTGTCGTTGATGCAGCAGCGAGTTAGGTTTTTGTGGCAGCGACAGTCGATTCAACTGATTCAATTATTTTCTAATTGTTTTCTATTTGGGAAGGGAAACGATAAAAGGTATCAAAAAGATTGGAGGGAAAGATGTTTCTCTTTTTGTGGAGGGAAAGTTATAATAATAAAAGATTAATTTCAATTAGTAATTTTTAGTGGCTATTAATTTTTATTGCCGGTAAAAGGATATCTTTTACTGGCTAATGGTCATATGCCGTTAATATTTAAGCTTAAAGAATTTATTAGCGACCATTGCCGTATTGCCGCTAATTAATTGCCGCCAAAGGCCATTTTTGTAGTAGTGTGAACAAAATCAAGGGGATGTCGTTCACCCTCGACCATCTCATCTGATTGTACCGTCCTCGCCTTTTTTAAGGAGGGTTAATAAAACTTTAGCGTCGGGTTGCCAAGACTCTATTCTCGAGCATTGACGAGGACAGGGATTGAGGCTGGATGGGCAGGTACGTTCGAGTAAGGACTTCGGACCTGATTCCGACTGAAAAGATGCCGTTTTCCGAGGAGTGGAATATGAAACGTAAGTGTGATTCTGTTGTTACTTCCTTCTATTTCGCCCTTTCATTTCTTTTCTCACTGATATTCCTCTTTCTGTGATGCAGTGGTTCCCTGGATACCCGGAGTAGTTCCCGATCTCAAGAACTCGGTACGAGCTTTGGCTTCGACCTCCACATACTCCGAGCGCTTATGGTGTGATTTGTCAAAGAGCCGATGGGAGGCAAAAACTCACGGTAAGCCCCTTTCTCGTACCTTTTGGTAGTTCGAACGAGACGTTTTCCATATACTTTAGTAAAAAATTTCATATGTAGATGTGGGCAAAGATGCGGTTTTGAGGCCCTCGTCCATCGAGAAAGAGGCTTCGGCCTCTGTCCCAAAGCCGTTGAGAGATAATAAGAGGAAAAGAGCCTTCGTTCCCGAAGATCCAAAACCGAAGAAGAGGACGGCTCGTAAGCCGAACAAGAATACCATTCCTTTGACCGTAGAATCAGTTATGCGTCTAAGGGATGAAGATGAGGAAGAAAAAGGAAATGATGGGTCCGCGCTGGCGGCCCGAACGAAGAAAACCACCGACGTTCCACAGGCAGCTGGATCGATGGTGGTTCATAAGGCCTCGCCTCGAACTGAGGATATTTCGGAGAGCGATTCGGGCGGAGTCCTTGAGTTGTTGGAGATTGAAGATGCTTCCCATCGAAGCCAAGGGATAGGGGATATGTCTGAAAGGGCTCTCCTCGAATCTCTTCGAACCATTCGCCCTCGTACTAGATTTTGATGTTGTTCGATATGTCCAAAGAACTTCGGGTAGGATTTCTCTCTATTTTCCCTTAGCGTCGTTCAGCCTCTTCTTTAGGTTTTGAATGATAGTTTTGTTTGTTTATTCAGCCTGTCCGTTCCTACTGGGGTGATACGGTGTTGATAATATCCTCTTTATTTTGTGGTTTTCGAGGAATTTCGTCACTTTGCTGCCAACAAACCGTTTCCCATTATCACACACTATTTAAGCGGGTATCCCGAATCGATATACGATATGATCCCAGATAAAGTCTATAACCTATTTCTCTCTTACTTTCACGAACGCCTGTGCTTCAACCTATTTAGAGAAATAGTCAGTCATAAATAAAATGAACTTAGCTTTACCTGGGGCCGATGGCAGAGGGCCGACGATATCCATTCCCCATTTCATGAATGGCCATGGGGATAGGACTAAGTGAAGCTGCTCTCCAGGCTGATGGATCATTGGTGCAAACCTTTGACATTTGTCACGTTTTCGAACAAAATCCTTTGCATCTTTGCCCATATCGATCCAATAATACCCTGCCCTTATTATTTTTTGGACTAATGAATCAGCATCGGAGTGGTTCCCACAAGTGCCCTCATGCACCTCACGTAGGATGTAATCGGTGTCTCTTGGACCTAAGCATACTGCCAATGGTCCATAGAATGTCCTTCGATATAGCGTTCCATCTGTAGTTAATGTGAATCGAGCAGCTTTGGTTCGTAGGGCCCTCGAATATTTAGGGTCCGATGGGAGCTTTCCATTCTTTAAGTATTCAATATATTTATTCCTCCAATCCCAGGTTAAGCTCGTAGAATTTATCTCGGTATGACCGTCTTCGATCACGGATCTCGATAGTTGAATGACACCCGAGCTTATCTCGCCTTCCTCGATTGATGATCCC